CCTTCAGGTATCGCAACCACAATGATTGTTACCGCAGCCGCTACCATTTTGACTACCGCATTCACGATTTCGTCACTTTTCGTCTTCTTTCCGTTATATGCTCTGTTTCCGCTCTCGTCATTGGTGCTTCCCGTGAAATAACGGACTAATAGAACCAAAAGAACCAAGAAAGCTACTAGTAAACCGACTTTACCTATCGAAGAAGTAAGCTTATCGAGACGAGTTTGCAATGGAGTTTGCTCGTTTGTGTCGCGCGAGATATGACTCATCATTTGTCCCCAAGCTGTGTTCATTCCAACGGAAGTAACCACCATTTTACCAAACCCATCAGCGATTTTAGTACCCGAAAACAAGAATGTGTTTCCGTTTAGATTCACCTCGACGTGATCGCTTTCTCCGGTCATGCTTGATTCGTCAACGTGCAACGAATGTCCTTCAACGAACACTCCATCCGCCGGAACTTGATCTCCGATGTTCAAACAAATGATATCTCCAACGACAATGTCAAAGATCGAAATCTCTTGACGACGACCGTTTCTAACAACATCGATCTTAATATTGCTACTTACTTTAGAGAGTTTATCGAACTGTCTGTTCTGTCTGAAGTTGCTAACCGCAGAGACAGCTACCACCAAGAAAACCGCTACGAATATGCTTCCTCCATCGTACCATCCTTCTTTCAATCCGTGCTCTTTGATACCGAACCCGAGAGAGAGCGTTGCGCAACCGAGAAGGATGAGAATCGTGAGGTCTTTGAAAGCTTCGATCACAAAATGGACGAGACTCTTCGATGGTGGTCTCGTGTAAGTGTTGGAACCGAACGTTATACGCCTACGTTCGATCTCATTGGCTTCTTCGTTGATCCCGAGACGCGTGTTGGTCTTGAGAGCTGGGACTAAGCCATTAGGACCACCAAGAGACTCGAGTTTCTCTTGGTTCTTGTTCTTGACGAGATCATTTAAGGTTTCTTGATCGATCTTGAAGTCTTCTTGATGATTGTCGAGATCAATAGCGGTGTAGGAGAGTGAACGAGGGAACAAACCGGGTTTTCGGTTTGCGTGTTTGGCGCAGTTGAGGAGAGTTCTTGAGCAGTAGATCTTCACGAATGCTAATTGCCACTTCTTGTTTGGTTCGCTTAGGGTTTTGGGGAGTTGAAGAAGAAACTCGACGTCGACCACATTGTTCTTCTTCTTCTCTGCATGATCGGGAACGTTTGTTGGCATTGATTCTGGTATTTGATAAACCGGAATTGCTTTGCTTAACCGAAAAGAAACCAGAAGGTGTAAAATTTTCTCTGTGAAAGCGATGTATGGAATATGAAGAAAGCTGATGTAATTGTTGGTGTCAATGAAATCTGCATTGCTTTTTATATAAGTTTTGTTCTTGAGTCGGTTTTGGATCCATCTAGGAAGTTTCCTTGCAATGCACCACGAAAGTCACATTCACCAAATTGACCAAATATTTTGCCTAATTTAAAGGTCATTTAATAAATCAAAATATTAAATGAAACAAAAAAATTCAATTTGAAGTTGCAACTTGTAAGTAAATGAATCGATAGAATTCAATTTATGTAAAAATATATTAAAAAATACATTTAAGATCAATTTAATATATATATTTAAAGGACAATTGCAAAAATACCATTTTGGATGTGTGCATTTGCAAAATTACCAATATCTTATGGGGATTGTCCTAGGACAGTTAC